AAAAAAAAAAAAAAAGAAAGAAAGAAACAAGAATAGTTATTAAAAATCTGAAAACTAAAGAAAACACCAGACTCAGAGTTCTATGGAATGCTCAAGAACAAACAGTATCACTGTAGCCCTACTCAAACACTTCTGGAGAACAAAAACTTAGAAAACTGGTATATCATGATAGAAATTTCAATGATGGCAGTAACAGGAAAATTATAGACTGGAAACTTTTAAGTAAAATTGCTAATAATCCACATTCAGTAATTAAAGATATGTTGAATTTCTGAATTAATCACACAAATGAATAATTTTTTATCATCTGAAAATCTATGAATATAATTTACCACACTAAGATCAAAGAAAAAAACTTAGATGATCATCTTTATGAATGCAAGCAAAAGCATCAGTAACACAGATATCACTTAGCAAACTAGAAATAGATGACTTCCTTAATCTAAAAACACAAACAAGGACAATAAACAAACATAACTGACAACTACCAACAACTTACAGATAATACCACATGTAATAGTGAAACACAGGATCATTTCCTTTAAAGTCAGGGAGAGAGGAAAAGGATGCCCACCAGAATGGCTTTAATTTAACTCCAAAAGTCTGAGCTAGCATAGCAACACAAGAAAATGAAAGGACAGATATTAAGGAACAGAAAGAAAAAACGTAACTGTCAATACTGTAGGGAATATGACTATATAGAAAATCTGAAAGGATCTACAAACTAAGGAGAGATTTCAGTAAGGATGTGACATAGAAAAATAAATGCATAAAATCAACCACGCAATAGTAATACCGTGGTACTGTGGTACTCTTCTTTAATTCACTCTGGCACTGCCAAAACCAAGGAGTAGCAAATGAATTTTTCCCAAAAGAAAAAATATAATTGGAAATAATTTGTGAAAGTTCCCAAATGTGAACTTTCACATTTTACTGGATTAATATTAAGGAGATTGTTTTATAATACAGAACCTAAAACTAAAGACAGAAAAGTAATTGATTACATAAAAATGTGATGAAGGATTTTCTCTTGTGGGGTGGTGTGGTGACTCAGTCAAGTTCTAGCAAGTGCAACAGGTTCGCTGCAAGCACTGAAGACTGAAACATTTTTTTCTCATCAAAATTCTACAGGAACTGGGTACGGTGAGTTCTAAAGCCAATGAGTACTTATATATGATTGTAATTTAGAATTCTGAAGAAGAGGAAGGCAGAGAACCCTGCCAGACACTAAAATTTAAGAAGCTACAATAATTAGCAGTATACTACTGGCAGAAGAACAGAGAAACAGACTATGGCAACAGAGCTGACTGACCACAAATAATCACAACAAATGATTTATGATTGACAAAGAGTTTCTAACTAGTAAAGGAATCGATCAATAAATGATGTTGGGATGGATTGCCATCCACACAAAAAAGGCTAACTCTATTAAAGAACCTGATGTGAAAAGCCAAATAAGCCAATAGGGAAAAAATTCAGAAGAGTATCTTTATGTTCTGAGTTGTAGGGAAAAACAGAAATCACAGAACAAATGACAAAGTATACAAACAGGAAATCTACAAAAGAGAAGTCTTAAAGAGCTACTTTCTACATCAGCTGGTAATCAAGAAAATTAGGTTAAAATTAAAAGGCTGATAGTACTATTTGTGAAGATATGGAGCAATGAGAAAGTGTATTGTTGGTAAAAGTACAAACTAATTATCAAATTTGGGGAGTAATTTAAGCACATATTATGAAGTTGAAGAAGATATTTAACCACCAGGTAATTCTACTGAGTTGAATTGTTTAGAAACTATTTGCTAAATTGTAGGGCATATGTATATAAATCCTTGGGTTTCTTCCAAGAGTAAAACCATCCTAGTAAGGTATCTTAGGGAAGATGTATATATGAGTAGGAAGCTGTACTTTTAGAATAGTCTTAGTTTTTCTTTTTCTTTTTTTTTTTTATTGGTACCAGGGATCGAACTTGGGACCTTATGCTTGCGAAGCAGGCAGCAGAACCACTGAGCTAAATCCCCAGCCCTAGTCTTAGTTTTTCTAATATGTTGATGGAAGTATTTAGCCTTTATAATGAGACTATAAAATGTTTTATATTCCAACTGTTAACTATAGGAAAATCTATGATTATATAATTTTCTTCTGTGATAAAGAGTTCAAACTGTTCCATCAGTGGGAAATCTGCTAGGAAATGATTCTAAAAACCAGCTTCATTATATAACTCAGATTGCATTAATTACTTTCTGAATTTCTCAGATTTAAAAACAAGAAAATTAAGTTCTTGAAGAATAACTGAAGATTGAAATTTAAGTGTAGAATAGAAAAGTTTAAGGATTTTGGCTTTAGTTATCTGTACTCAAAGTTTCTTTAAAGTTAATTATAATTATAATCTATTCATTAATGCTGGTCTAGTAAAATCTCATTTCTTTCAGTTATACTATACTGGTATAATAGTAGATTTGAATTTCCCCAAAAGAAGGCAGACTAAATTTATGTCCCTAGCTTTAATCTCCTCTTTTAAAACATGTATATGAGAGGAAAGCAACAATTGCCTTCAACAGGGTGCTGGGAGAAGTAGGTTAAAGACAGATTTACTAGATTTTTGAAATTTCATTATCCTTTGAATAAGTTTAATTTTATACTCCAAGGGATATGGATTAAGTCATTTTGGAATTTTTCTTAAAATGAGAGTGTGCTTAAGAAAGTCTCATACCATATAGATATATACCTTACAAGGTCATTGTAAGTTTTATTTTAAAGAAGAGCTAGCACAGAATTTCCTTAAATTTATTATTCAAATGAACATTTATTTTCAAGTAAAGTTTTGGAAAGTGCTGAGGAAGATTTGGGGAGAAACAGCTTTGATGATTACTAAATCAGTTATTCCAACTGTGGGTAACTTGAAACTCACAGCACACTTGGCAATGAACTTCTCCCTCTTCTAAGACTTTCCCAGCCCCCAAAGCCTATAGTGTGGAAGTTGAGAAACTCTAGCTTAAATCAACTTCCATGCTTCCCCCATCTAGTCATAATGTCTGAGAGTTTGTGTGTGTGTGTGTGTGTGTGTGTGTGTGTGTGTGTATATATATATTTTTTTTTTGCGGCACTGGGGATAGAACTCAGGACCTTGTGCTTGCAAGGCAGGCGCAGTACCACTGAGCTAAATCCCTGGCCCTGCTAGACTATATTTTGAACTAAAAGATACTGAAAATATAATCAATTCCTTAAAAAGGGTAAATGTAAGAATTTCTTGCAGGAAGAAAGAATACTATATTTAAAGTAATGAGATCATGGAATATATGAAGTGGAAAAGGCATGATAAGCAATTATTTTCTTTATCCCAATGTACACTTATAATAGAATGCTAACTCTCTAAACAAATCAAAGTAACAAAATACTCAGAAGCATGACCACGTATTGCTGGGAAAACAAACATCAGAGATTTAGTTTAGGCAAGTTACTAAATAAACACAAATAAGAAGAACAAATACAGCCAGTCTGGGGGTAGGGGCAGAATCAAGAGTTGCCAAAATATATCACCTAAAATGTCCAGTATTCAACAAAAAATTATGGGACATGAAACAAGGTAAATCTAAGGATACTCACGAAGAAAAGCAGTTAATAGAGGTTATCTTGAAATTTCCTCAAGTATCAGGTTTATTGGACAATGATTTTTAAAGCAGGTTTTATATATACTAAATGAGCTAATAGCATTAGAGACTTTTTTTTTTGGTAGGTACCAGGGATTGAACTCAAGACCTCGCACTTGCCAGGCAGGTGCTGTGTTGCTGAGCTACATACCTGACCTGAATTAGAAACTTTTATCATACAATAGAGATGCTCAATAAAGAGAAAGAATGACAAAAATAAGCAAATGGAAAATCTAGACTTGAAAAATAACTGAAATGAAATGTTAACAACAGGGGCTCAACAGCAGATCTGGCACAACAGAAAAATAATCTAAGAATTTGAAGATTGATAAACAGAAATCATCTAATCTCCAGAAGAGTGAAAAAGTGAAGATAAATGAGCATCACTTCAGAGATATATGGTACAACATGAAGCACACAAATTTCCAAGTAATGGGAGTCCCAAAGATGGTGAGAGAATGGAACTGAAAAAATATTTGAAGAAATAATGGCTAACAAATTTCCAACTCTGATGTAGACCATTAACCTATGAAGTCCAAGGAGCTCAAAAGCCAAAGTATGAAAAACAGAAAGAGATCCACACCTTGATATAGCATAATCCAATTGTTGAAAGTCAAAGGCAGAGAAGATCTTGAAAGAAGCAAGGACAAATGACTCATGGAAGCAACAATATAATTAAGGACTGACTTTTCATCAGAACCAATTGATGCCAGAAAGCAGTGTGATGATATACTCAAAGTGCTGGAAGGAAATACCCATCAGTGAAGCTATAATTCAGAAATGAAGATGGATAATTAATCAAATGTTGAAAGTGAAACAATCCTGTACTACTAGTGGGAATGTAATACAATATAGCCACTTTAGAAAACAGTTTATCCATTTTCTAAAAGTCTATCATAAACTTAATATATGATGAAACAATTCCTTTCCTAGGGATCAACCCAAGAAGAAAGAACATATAAACAACATGTTCTATGAAATTGTTCATATAGTATTGTTCATAACAGTGCAAAACTAGAAATGCAAATTTCTCTGATAATTAGATAAAGAAGATGTGGTACATGTACATGCATACAATGGAAAACCATTTAGTAATGAAAAATAATGAAATAGCAATAAAGGCTATAAATACCCTCAATGAATGATGCTAGATGAAAAAGAGTATAAATACTGCATACTAGTTTTATATTTATATCTTTATCTACGTATCCACACATAGACATATATAACTCTCTCTATATGAAATATCTAGAAAAGACAAATTAGAGTGAAAAGATTAGTGGGCTGGGAGTGCAGACTGACTGCAAAATGGCTTATAGAAATTTTTGTTTTTAAGATGATGAGAATACTCTAAAATGGGATTATGATGATGGTGGCACAGCATATAAATTTACTAAAATATATATTTACAATGGAATAAAATAACAAATGGATTAGTTTTATGAAGATTTTACTTCAATAGGCTATTGTTTTTTTTTAAAAAAATTACAACAAAAAATGCCAACACAAAGAACTATCTGTTTAACTGAAAAGCACCATAAACCTACCAGCTATATTTTTACCATTTAAATAGAACTATCTCAGTTTAACTGAAAAGCACTGTAAACCTACCAGCTGTATTTTTACCATTTAAATACTATTTGGGGGGAGAACTTGCATAAGATCCAAGCTAATCTAATATTACCAAATCTGTTTGTGAATCTATCCCATTGCTTCAAGAAGTAGGTCACTTTACCACGTCAACTAATGTAATTTGAGTAGTGTCAAGTATGAGCTGAATTGGTAATAGAAAATCACTTTTACTTCTGAGGATGAGTTTTGTGTTTGGTTTTAATTGTAGGTGCTTGGATACTTAGATGGAAGAAAACTCAACACACAAATAATACTATTAAATGACAAAACTAAATTCCAGAATAATTTTTATTTTTTTTAAATGGTAAAAAAAATGACTAATTTTAGACCTTCACTGACTACACAGCATGTATAACTTCCACATATTTCAATGAAAGAAACCTTTGGCTGAAATATTAAAAGCTTTCTGTGCAAAACTACTGTAGTCTGAAATATTTTGTTGTGTGCTAATCCATTTGAGGAACAATATAGTTATTGTACTGTATTATTTGTTCCTCTTTCATGTGATATATAATACAGCACTTACCCTGCTTTCTTCTAGGCTATCAAATGGACCCGGTGGATCATCCAGACAAAGAAATTCTCTCACTGCAAGGCTTTTCAAAGTTAAAAAAAAAAAAATTAGTGTGGGTACAAATAACAAATATTAAACTATAGAAGATGCACAGATCTTCAAGACGTTTTCTAAAGTCTTATGAAAATAAATAAAAATCACATTTATTATTACATACTAGAGAAACAAAACACAATTCAGAACAGTGGTACAAGAGACCAATCTAAGTAGTGAATAGCTTCTTTATGACTTTCAAAGAAATATTAGTCTCAGCTAGTCTACTGAAGTCATTACCCTGTTATGAATAAATATAACATTCAATTCATACCCCATTTGTTTTTTGGTGGATGCTTCAAAAGTAAATGAAAAGTATTTACTCTAAAGCAATTTAAAGATTGTCCTTGCTATTTAACTTAAATATTTTAAAAGTAAATAATAATTTAAGCAAAAATAATTTACTTAAGTATTTCCCAGATAGTTTAAGAGAAAAAAATTCGGAATCACCAAAAAAATCTGACTTATGAATCACCAAAAATTTAAAAATAATGAAATAAGGTCATTCTTATGTTCACAATTTGCAGTCCAAAATAGGTTAAGAAGAAGGCAGATAACCAAATGTCCTTATAACAAAAATAAGCTCCATTTCTAAAAAGCAATTTTGGACTATGAGACAACTCTATGTGTATGTGAAAACGTAAATGTGGAGCCTTAATTCTTTTCATTTGTAAAGCGAAAAGAACATGGTTGATGTAGTTACTACATAAAGGAGATGTCAACCTATGTTAAAAAAATGAGCTTTTGGGTTCAGGTGGGGCCAGACAGGTTGATGATGACAGGGTGTCATAAAGAGATGAATAGATTTTTAGTGGAATCTTTCCAAAAGAAAACCAATATAAATTAATTCAGAGAAGTAATGTTAAGAAAATAATTCAGAATATCCCAAGGGCAGAACAAAGGTTGGTAAAGTGGCATCCAGAAAAGCAAATTATGGCTTATAAAGGGCTAATATAGGTAATAAAAGGATACACATTCAGGGAAACAGAAAACACTTGAATATTTATAATAATGGAGTAAGAGGTGGAAGAGATCATAAATGTGATCTAGTTGAAACATCCATAGTATGCTTTTTTGTCCCTTTTAAAAGCTCAGCCAAGTGTATATACTTAAGTACCGCCAGAGGTAATGGAGTATCTTTGGTTTTTATATAAACCAATCCATGTGTGAATAAATTCACATACTGCTAAACATATGTCAACAATGTTAGGCTATTTCCTGTACCCTTGTATTTTTAAGAATCAATAGTAATACACTAATATTTTCCAAGTACATTGCACACTCAGGACTTTCACATACCTTATTTTATTTAATTTTCACAACAATCATGAGAAGTTAGGATAGGAATTATATCTTCATTTTATAAATGATATCAGATTTCACAGAGGTAAAATAACTTGCTTAATATCTCAAAGAACAAGTGACATAGCTAAACTTTAATCTGTCTTCTGAGTCTAAACGTGGCCTTTTCTATCTTTAAATTCTTTTATGTTTCGGTTCATTTATATTCTTTTCCATGTAGGCCATTTCTCTCTAAACACACTCAAATTGTCTATATACCTCTTTAATCACACATGGCCTTTAGGATACTGCAATTCGTTTAACAGAAGACCATATATAGTCACCTTCTACAGATATAATTCCACCCACCTATTAAATAAAAATGAGCCATAGGAAATGAATTGATCTTGGCTTTCAGGAAAAAAAGTATGGATGAAACACTAAAAGAACAGCATTTAAAATGGAAAGCAAAATGCTAAGAAGCATATGGAAAGGCCTTGTTTAATACTTTCAGTATATAACAACCAATGCGAAATATTTTCTTACAGGTTTCCCCTACTTTAATGACATTTTTTATGTTCACCACTTAGACTATTGTAGCTAGGAAGGGAAAAGTGTGCGAAGGAGTGTATATCCTTTTTAGTATCTTTAGTTTATAGTAGAAATTTAGCCAAAATCAACAGTGATGCTGACAGAGTACCCTGCTGAAGGAATCGTTTTCTTTTTTTTTGTAAGTGGTTCTTCTATTTCATTCTCCATCTCTATTTTTTTTCTTTTATGATCTATGGCTTATGAGAGTTCTTAAAATAAAATTTAGCACATTCTTTGAGTTTTTTTTCCAATATATTAGTTCCCAGGTTATACTGCATGCCCTACTTCAGCTTAAGAACAAAATTTGAAACTGGCTACAATTTTATTTTATAGAACACTTTTCAGTGGTTCACTATGTTTCTTCTGCTTCAGCAGAACTCAGGGGGTACAGAAGTCCACACACTTACACTAAATTCCTATCCAAGGAGAACAGGCCAAACAAAAATCTCTGAGAAATGGTGGGGTCTGAGAAAACACAGAAATTCCAATACATTTTTCCCCCTAGGAAAGGCAGCCCTAACTGCTGCTTGGGAATCATTGACTAGAAAACTTTAATTAGCTTCAATAAATATTTATTGATGGTTTATGTGTGCCATGGTTCTGCTCAGTAATTTTCTATATATTATTAATGCATGATTTATAAACAAATTAAGTGAATTCTAATAATAAACACCGAAAGGTCTACATTATTAAATGATATATGGCTTAAATGGAAATCATGTTTTTAAAGCCTTATTTTTTTTCAAGTTGTTCACTGAGAAGCTGAATATAGCCCCTAAACTCTGCTTCTATTTGACTATGACGGTGGACAACAAAAACACCAGGATCGTATGTATATTTTTTTCTCAGATGAAAAATTCAACAATCTGGAATAAAAAAGGCAAGGGAAGATACAGTATTACTTTATTCCTTTTATTACTTGGAGTAACTTTTTAGTATGTCTGAGAAAACTGTTTCTTGAAATTGAGGTCAATCACTGACTTAAACTGCTCAAAGATAAATGAGACCACAGATGGTATATTTTAGTATTGTATTTATTTTTACAGCAAAGTTGCACTATAATTCAACTCCTTGCTTTTGAGAAAAAATATTCTTTGGAAAAACTGTATTTTCAAGTTATGATCCTAATAAACTAGTTCCATCTACTGAGCTTTCACTTTATATTTACTGTTGTTTTTCTTTTCTTTCATACACAGGTATTTACACCGCACAATTTTTTTTAAAAGACCAGCAATTTAGTGGCTAGATGTATTTTGAAGTGCGTAATTTAAAAGAAAAAAAAGCCAAGACTTAAGACCTACAATGCATTAAAAGGTCAATTACACATGAAATAAAAATATTAGATATCAATTCTGTCAAAACCAAATAGAGCACAAAAGTCATTGCATAAAAACATTAGAGGGATTTTAGATAGAAATGTTATATTGGATAATACTGCTTCTTGGTACTCTCCACTAGTTAAAGAAAATAAGAAGACTTTGAATGTAACCTTGAGGCTAAGGACCCAGGGATCAAGGCTGTTAACAGAGGGGGGCGGTGCATGAGATGGGTGGGTGCGGGTGAGGCAGAAGGGCTCATGACCAGTTTCCTATGGCAGATGGAAAGCTGGGCAGCAGAGGCCTACTTTAACCCTTGATCATCATTCACCTAGGTAATTTTAGCCCACTAGTGTTGCTAAACATCAGTTTTATCCCTCTAATCCAGAATATCTTAAAATTTCACCTATGCCTCCTCTAGCAAGAGGAAACAGAGCCAAACTCCTGGACTTGGCATAAAGAACCTGCCTGACTCAAGTTTAAAATCCTTTATAAAAAATTAATTTTATTGGTACATTTGAGGTATACAATATGACATTCATCATTGGAAATCTGCACCTTTACATAATCTCTTGGTTCTTATTTTTCTCCGTTCCCCTGCCCTCCCTTCAACCCCTCCATCCCTCTCTATTTACAAAGACTTTGTTTCCATTTTTCCATTTTCTCATATTAATTTCATTCCCTTCTTTCCTTTCCACT